GCCATATAAGTCTCTAAAACAAACACACACACAAACAAATAGTGGACTATCAGGGATATCTGATTGGCTGACAGAATTTCCAAGAATTTCAGACCAAAGTGTGCAAACATCCCCTCTGTGCCTCCCCATCTGCACTGCTCATTGGTGGATCCTGTTAAAACAAAGACAGGTTTAGCATGAAAATATCTGTATTGGTGATATCTGGAAATTCCTTTTGAGATTCAAGGAAATAAGCAGAGAACAATTCTTTTGGCAATCACTATTCTGTCAGCAGGAAAGCCATTAATCAATGATGCTATGGTGTATATCCTCAAGGCTGTGACCATCCATTTCACACTTCTCTTCATTAATTACTATTTTCATAATTTCAGTTTTATACTAGGACATACGTTTTTCTAAATACCAGTTAGTCCATACAACCCAGCCAGAACAGGCTTTTCCTTTCTCTTTGGTACTCTTAATCTCGTAGGGTTTGGATTTTCTCTGCCTTTAAAAATCTTCTGTCTCACCCTTCCTTATGGCAAGAGTTACTTAATCTTAAAAAAAAGAAAAGAAAAAGGAACTGAGGCAGTTGATAAGGCTGATTAAATGACTAATCAATCATATTTAGCCAAAATAGAAACAGCTGTTGACTTTTTAGTTGGAACCTTGCAGCCTGTTTTTCTCACCTGCATTTCACTTAAACTCCAATGTTATAGAAGGAGATGAGGTAGCCTTGGGCTGGTGGATGATGGGTGTAACTTCCAGGCAAGAAGCGTGATGGACAACTCTTTTGCATTTATTACTGTGTGATGCCAATGTCTTCATTCTAATAACAGGAGGAATTGTTAGGAAGACATTTTGTTAACAATAGTCTTAGTTGAGGCTCCATTTTAGCTTAGCAAAGAACAAGGATTTCTGCTCAACAGACAATTCTTTTCTACACGGTTGTAGTGGAGTCCAATCGATTCTAAATATTATTTTTTGTTGTATAAGTTGTAGTTTAAGGTCCATTGACATTGTTTGAACCAGCAGCATTTACAGCTTCTGAGACACCTGAGATATTAGAACAACTTGTTAAATCCTTTAAAACTAACTACTGTTAGTTTTTATAGATATTTGTTATCAGTAGATCAATTGGATATGGAGATGTTAAGGGAAGAGTGAAATAAAGAATTAGAGGTTTCTGTATTGCCTAGACAATGGGAGAGTGTCTTAACTTCTATAGGATTTCTCCTCAACAGAGCAAACCTCCTATATTTAAACTATATTTATGTTTTGTAAACCACACAGTCGTTCAGTGAGGTGGGTGATGACAAATTTGATATAAACAAACAAACAAACAAACAAACAAACAAATAAAATATTTCATGTGTCACACCATAAGGCAAACCCAGACACTTAGAGAATGTTTTTAAGGGGGAAATAATTGACGTATTGTAAAGACAGTAATTAGAAGCAATTTCGATGTTTATACATATATATTGATGCAATCACCAGTTGGGTACAATGAAGAGAATTCAAAACTTTTTCTCCTTTTTTGTTACTTATTTTATTTTTTAAATATTTTCCCTTTCTCTTTATGTGATAATGTGCATTTATTAATGATCAATATTAATGTTTAGAGTTTTATGGAGATTTTATTTATTTCTTAAGATCATATAATGAACCTAGTTCTATACATTTAATTAATTCATTCACTAATGAATTTTAAATCTTATGATAATGGTAAATCCTTTATTATTCACCCACTATGTTTTCCCCCACTTTCCTTTTTCTCTTTTATGTAGCTATTCTGGTTTTATGTAGCTATTCTGGTTCTGCCACTTGGCCTGGGGCAGGGAGGGAATACTTCAAGCAGGAGGATGGCTAGCC